CATCACTCTTGCTCTGACCATCTTCTGGTCATGTGATCATTCCTGGTGACCAGGAATGCTCATGAAGTTCTCTCGCCCAGCCTCATGTTTGGCTGTGTGTAGACTGGGGAGTGTCTGTGGGGAGAAGCATGATGCCGATATATTTACAGTGACAAAATGAATCCATGCCTGGGCCCAAGACTATTCACCAACCAAATTCTAATTCAAGACTAGCAGGCATCTCTCTGCAACCTATACCACCTGTGTTTTTCGGTTCTGTGAACGTCACTTGGGAAATGTCTGGCACAGTGTGTTCCATGCATGTGGCAGAGCCAATCGAGTGTAGGTGGATGCAAAGAGAAATCCACTGGGATTTTGGCAGCATCAAGCAATCTATGCCCTGGGGTGACCACTCATTCTGACTTGTCTGCGAGTGTGGGGATTACCAGAATGAGAATGTAGCACTTTCTATGACATAATTGCTTTAGATTCAGGCCAACCAGCATGAGCTGTGGTTCTAGCCCTAACCCTGGTTACTACACAGTTAGTGTTATGTCTTCTCTCTCTCTCTCTGTTTCCTTTGAATGAAGGAATTAGATGAGTTGAGATGATACCTGATTCAACTTGGAGTTCTGACATGTTTAAAATATTTTTCAGGTATACCATTCATTTCAGAAGAATGCAAATTATTAATTTCTAATTTGATACAGCATTATGTTGTAAACACACCCATGTCCCCATTATGAGGTTAGGAAATAGAAATTAATCCCCTTCTTTCCCAATTATGTTCTCTTACTCATTCCCCAAAACAGCTAATCACTCTATCAAGTTGTAATCCATTAGATAAATTTTAGCTTTTTAAAATTTTCATGTGAATAAAAGTTATGGTATTTGTGTCTCTGTATCTTTGGCATAATCAAAAGTAATCGTTATTGCTTAGTCATTTTGGACTCTTCATGTCAGCAGACCAGCAGACAGAGAAAGGAGTACTATTTGGTGAGGAGTAATTATCCTCATGCCACCTATTGTAGGAGAATATAGCTCAGGAGATTTACTGAGTATATTAATTTACTAGCACTGCCATAAACAAATTACTGCAAACAAAGCGACTTAAATTTGTTTTGTCACAGTTCCGAAGGCTACTAGTCTAAAATTAAGGTGTTGGCAATGTTGTTTCCTTTCTTTTTTTTAAAAAAAATTTATAGTTTAAGTTGTGGGGTACAAGTGCAGAATGTGCAGGTTTGTTACATAGGTATACACATATCATGGTTGTTTGCTGCACCCATTAACTTGTTATCTACATTAGGTATTTCTCCTAATGCTATCTCTCCCCTACCCCTCCTACCCCCTGACAGGTCCTGGTGTGTGATGCTCCCCTCCCTGTGTCCATCTGTTCTCATTGTTCAACTCCCACGAATGAGTGAGAACAGACAGTATTTGGTTTTCTGTTCTTGTGTTATTTTGCTAAGAATGATGGTTTCCAGCTTTATCCATGTCCCTGCAAGAGACATGAAGTCATCTTTTTTATGGTTGCATAATATTCCATGATGTGTATGTGTCAGGAAATGTTGTTTTCATCTGAGGGCTGTGAGGGAAATTCCAGCTCTCTCCTTGACTTGCAGATGTCTATCATTTCCATGTGTGTTTGACAACATTTTTCTACTATCTGCATGCTGTCTGTGAATTTCCCCCTTCTATATAGACATCAGTCATATTTAATCACGAGCCCGATTGTTTCCAATATGACCTTGCCTTATTATATAACATTTAAAATGATTCTATTTGAATATGAATTTTGAGGGACACAAATTAACCTGTAACACTGGAGAATCTCATAGTGTGTCCATGCCCAGTAATAATCACAAATAAGTAAAAACAACAATCACAGTGGACAATGGTATAGTAACTAGACTTGGCTCAGACACTTCAGGAAGGAAGTTCTGAGGTATTCCATCAGGCAGTTCTAGACCAACAGGAGTGCTGGCCAGGGGTGAAGGGAGAATAGAACTGATGGTAATTAACGGAGTTCATGAATCTCAGGTGCAAATAGCAGCAGTAAGTGCAGCTTATTTCGTTGACTTTCATTTTATATCTTACTTCCTCTCCTTTCTTTTCCTTTTCTTCTTCCTTCCTTTTTTCATCTGATATACTTACTTTCTCTTTCCTCCCTCCCTCCCTCCCTCCCTTCCTCCTTCTTTCCTTCTCCCTCTCTCTCTCTTGCTTGCTTTCTTGCTTTCTCTCTTTCTTTCTTCCTCTTTTTTCTCTCTTTTTTCTTTTCTCTTTCCTTCTCCTCTCCTCTCCTGTCCCTTCTCTTTCTCCTCCTCCTCTCCTCCTCTTTTTCCTTCTTTTAGAGCTTGTGGCTGTCCATGACATTTAAGTAGCAAAGATCTGACTTGAGTGGAGCTAATTGTAGATTGTAGAAAAGTTTTCACGACTGCACCCATATAACTTGAATCTTAGTGTGCTTGGAATAATTTCCATCTGCCAGAATCTGCATCTCGGTGCCTAAGGACTCTTGTATTGCAGCTGTAGAAAGTCATGTCACCTGTGCATGACACACAGAGAAAAACACTCAACCAATGATTCTGGAGTGCTGATTTATGAAGACTCTAGCTTCCTCATTCCTGAAGTAGGATAATTCTAGCTGTATCTTTTTCATCATTTCTGATAGTTTTCCCTTTAATTTAAGCTTTAGTTGGTCACTGTGATACTGGCTTAATAGTGTACCATTTTCTGTGAACATTTAAGATATACATTACATACATTATACTTACCTTATACATATACTATAGACATATACTTACATTATAATGTATATAATGTGTATACTATATACATATACTTGCATTATAATGTATACATTATACAATCCCTACCAGTGTAATCTGCACTTCCGAATAAACTACTTTCACTAGAATCTTTTCCTCAGTGTCTCTTCTGAGAGAAACTAAACTATGACGTTGTGTTAACTCTCTTAGCCTCAGTTGTCTCATCTCTATGATGAGAACATTAATACCCATTTTGAAAGTTTGCTAAAGAATTAATGTACGCAAAGCATTTAGCAAATATGCATCATAGAGTAGGCCACCCAGAATATATTGCTGTTTTTTTGTTCAGAAAATTCCTAATTTTAATGTTGAAGATAAGAATATTTTTATAGTAATTAACAGATCAACTACTTTTTTTCCTAGCTGTACTGAGGAATAACTGACAAATAAAAATTATTCATATTTCAGGTATACAAGGTGATGCTCTGATATATATATATATATATATATATATATATATATATTCATTGTGAATTACATCTTTATTAGCTCACATAGATACCATTTCCTTTTTATTTTTATGATGTGAGCATTTAAGATATAACTTCTGAGCAAATTTCAGGTACACGATAAAGTATTTTTAACTGTAGTCACATTACTATACAGTAGACATGCTGAGCTTATTCATCTTGCATAGCTAATGTTAGTCAAAGAGAATGTCCTAGTACTCCTCTCCTTTATTTCATCACTGAACAATGATCACAGTAAGTGGCCTTTGTCTCTTAGCCAAGTCTTCAGAACATTCTAGATTCACAGTCTCAGAAGTCGGCATCTGTCATGGAAATCTACATAGGTAGCTCATCAGATGTATTTCTACCACTCCCATGCTGGGTTGGAGGTCCCAAGAAGGTGACCCAGGTGCCTGACTTTTCTATTTCTCTCAGGGCCATGATTAATCAATCCTTCCATAAGTGAATGCTTAGCTTGTATCAGCTCAGGACCAAAAGCACCAACCTCTGTCTATCATGGCTTTCTATGAATGCACAAGTTCTACTTTTCTCCTTTCTTATGTTCTTCTGATTTCCCTGGAAACACGAGATTTTAGTTTCTGTAGTTGCTTCATGTTGGTCTCACAAAATGCAGAAGGTTTATTCCCTTCCTTGGCTCAGAGATCATGTATTGTGCCAAGACTTACACCCATTGCATAGCTTCTCAATTCCCAGCTTTGTTCTTACTTAATTTTCCTCATAACATTTCAATTAGGGAACAGATAGTCTTCATGTGGCATAATGTATGGTCTGTATTTTACAAGGAATAACTTAGTTTTATTTACTTTGACAATTGATATTCAGGAGATGGGGGCCATATAAGAATTTCATTTACATGATACCAAGAATAAGTCCCTTCAGATGAGACTCTCTCTCGTGAAGACACAATGAATTCTCATGCATTTTTTGGTGCAGATGAATTGAATGAATGGCTCGTCAAAGGCTGAGACAAGAAGAGATCCCTGCATTCAGGGCAGCTGTCAAACGCAGTCCCTGCTGCCATATCATGCAGTGGTTGCTCACTAGAGTGTGGGAAATGAATTTGGGAATATTTTTGTGAACAAAAATGTTATCTTCAAATATGAAGGATTATTCCTCTTATTGTTAAACAAACTTAAGTGCATGTTTTGCTAGTGCTGACTTTCAAGGTCATTTCTACCTTATTGAGAGTTAAATGTAATTGTCGTTGGGCAGAAGGAGAGGACCTCATCTTGGATCAGACTCTGTCCTTCTGTTTGTTTTTTTTTCTTTTTGAGATGGAGTCTTGCTTTGCCACCCAGGCTGGAATGAAGTGGCACAATCTTGGCTCACTGCAACCTCTGCCTCCTGAGTTCAAGCAATACTCTGCCTAAGCCTCCTGAGTAGCTGGGATTCCAGGCACCCACCACCATGCCCAGCTGATTTTTTTGCTTTTAGCAGAGATGGGGTTTCACCATCTTGGCCAGGCTGGTCTTGAACTCCTGACCTTGTGATCCACCCCACCTCAGCCTCCCAAAGTGCTGAGATTCCAGGGGTGAGCCACCATGCCCAGTTGAGGCTGTCCATTATTACTACATAACATCACACATTAAATTTTTCTCAGCTGAAAAATGAAGGTAATAATCCATGACCATCTGTTCTGAGGATCAAATTAAATAATACATATGGTATGTTATGTGTGTAAACCCCATATCAGGAATGCTTTAAAATAAAACAAAATACCATATGAGATGAGGATGGTTCAGAGTTTATTCAGAAACATGTAGGCAAGAATCTCTGCTACCAGGAATATGACCCAAAGTTACCACAAAAAGAAGAAAGAAAGATACAAGAACAATGAGGAGGATACTGAAAACAAAATTATGACTGCAAAGATTATGGATTAGTTTCAGAAACCTAAATTTCTGAGAAACAGAGAATGAAGCTCTTGACTTTAGAGTCAAAGCTGAGACCATGACTCCAAACTGAGCACACAGGAACCTGGCACATGATCCACAAGGTGTAAGGAGAAAGAGAATCAGGATGAAGTACTCTGCCCTCCCTCGAGCTGAATCACCAGATTTTAAACATGGAGAGAATTCATAAAAATGTGGGTGAGAGCATGGTGGCAGTCAGCAGCAAAGTAAATTAGTTCCCCAAAAGATAAGTCAGTTGAGCAGAAGGCTGTTGTGTGAGGATGGTGATTCTCTTGGGAGTTGATCAGCAGCAGGAAGGCTGGCAGCAGCTGGTCACACAGGTGGGCTGGCAGCAGGTGGTCCTACAGCAGGTGGTCTCACAGCAGGCTGGGCGGCAGCAGGGCTGGCAGCAGCTGGATCCACAGCTCTGGTTTAGGCAACCAGGCAGGCAGACACACGTGGGGTGGTAGCAGGTTCTCGTGCAGTACACAGGTGCACAGGAGCTGGTCTGGCCACAGCTGGACCCACAGCTGGTTTGGCCACAGCAGCTGGACCCACAGCAGGTGGGCTGGCAGCAGGGTGTGCTGCAGCAGGAAGGCTGGCAGCAGCTGGTCACACAGGTGGGCTGGCAGCAGGTGGTCGCACAGGTGGGCTTCCAGCAGGTGGTCCTGCAGCAGGTGTTTTGACAGCAAGTTGGGCGGCAGCAAGGCTGGCAGCAGCTGGACACACAGCAGGAGGGCTGGCAGCAGGGTGTGCTGCTGCAGCTGGTCACACAGGTGGGCTTCCAGCAGGTGGTCCTGCAGCAGGTGGTCCTGCAGCACGTAGGCTGGCAGCAAGGGGAGCAGCAGTGGGTCATGGTGTCAGGGGTGAACGGTGGGCTCCTGTTCAGAGGTGAGTTTCCCAGAATATGGTGACTCCTTCCAATCTGGACCTTTTATACACCTGGCCTCTGAAGTTTCCACCAATCAGCAGGACATTTCCTTGTTGCTGTTTACATTGTTTTCTACAGTCAGTTTGGGATTATCCAAGGGGAAGTTGCTTCTGAAATCTGATGAATTTTTTAAAAGTAAGGTTTAATCTGTTTCTTAATTGATAATTTGTCATAGAGACTTTGTTTCAGATAAAAGGAAGGCAGTCTCATCATCAGCATCATTCCTGCTCTGACCTTCATCTGGTCATGTGAGTGAGTTCCTGTGGCTGGGAGGCTCAGAAAGTTCTCTCTGCCCAGCCTCATGTTTGACTGTATGCAGACTGGGAGGTGTCTGTGGGCAGGGGCGTGATGCTGATATGTTCACAATGATGAATTGAATCCATGCCTGGTTCCAAGCCTGTTCACCCACAAAAGTCTGATTCAAGAGTAACAGGCATCTCTCTCTTTCTCTCCAACCTACTCCACCTGTGTCTTCCAGTTCTATCAAACTCACTTGGGAAAAGGGTGTTTGGCACAATGTGTTCCAAGATGCAGAGCCAGACCAAAGCAGGTGGGTAGACAAAGGGGTCCACTGAGATTCATCAGAAAGCATCAGATGGTCTCTGTGGTGGTGTGACCATTTATCCCGATTTGCCTGGGACTTACAGGTTACCAGCATGAGAATGTGGAACTCTCTGTGACATAAGTGCTCTAGATTTGGGCAAATCAAGCTGGTCCTAGCCTGAACCACAAGAAATGCCACAATTAGTGGCATTTCTTTTCTCTTTTTGTTTTCAGTGAGGAAACTAGATGCATTGAGAATCATTTTATTTATCTTTGAGGGCTAACATACTAAACACCTATTTTAGGGATATCATTCTTTTATAAAGAATGGAGATTATTACTACTCAAGTTGATATAATATCACAAAGTGAATACATCCACATCAATTTAACCAGGTTAGGAAATAGAAATTAAGCACACTCCTTTCAAATTATTTCTTCTGACTAATCCTCAAAGGCAGATAATCACTCCAAAGACTTGTAACCCTGTAGGTCAGGTGTTTTTTTTTTTTTGTTTTTGTTTTTTTTAACTTTAATGTAAATGAAGAAAGTTTAGAATTAGGTTCTCTATCTTTGAGTTAATATTGTGATATTAATCGAAATAATTATTTGTAGTTTATTCCTTCTCATTGTTGTATAATCGTCCACTGAATATGACACAATTTATTTGTCGATTGCTTCCTAGATAAATAGTTAACTTGTTTGCAGTTTGGGGCTCATAAAAATAATGCTGCTATGAAAGGTTTTATACAACATCTTTGGGAAACGAATACAAACCTTTTTGTTGAGTATACAAGCAGAAGTAGTGTTTACAGAAATGCTTGGTGAAATTTTTATTCTGTGCTCCTTTATGCCTTTTCCATCTTTTAGTACATTTATTCTTATACATTTTAGTTCTTATACTTTTATGCATATTATCATTTAAATTTTAATTTTTGCTGTTTCTAAAATATAGAAAGACACTTATTTTTATGTTGATCTTTATTGAAACTGTCTTGTTAATTCTACTAGTTTTTTGGTGTGACAGGATATTTTACATATGCAGTTGTGACTCAAAAAACATAGTAAATTTTCTTCATTTTATAAGAGTCTTTTTAATCTTGCTTTTTTTTTTTTGCTCTGGTCCAGTAGTAGACCCTCCAGGAAAAGGCCCTGTATCCTAGGGATGAGGCTGACTTGATTGTGGTAGGATAAGCTTTTAAAATGTGCTGCTGGATTCGATTTGCCAGTATTTTATTGAGGATTTTCGCATCAATGTTCTTCAGGGATATTGGCCTGAAATTTTCTTTTTTTGTTGTGTCTCTGCCAGATTTTGGTATCGGGATGATGCTGGCCTCATAAAATGAGTTAGGGAGGAGTCCCTCTTTTTGTATTGTTTGGAATAGTTTTAGAATTCGGCTGTGAATCCCACTGGTCCTGGGCTTTTTTTTGGTTGATAGGCTGTTAATTATTGCTTCAATTTCAGAACTTGTTATTGGTCTATTCAGGGATTCACCTTCTTCCTGGTTTAGTCTTGGGGAGTGCATATGTCCAGGAATTTATCAATTTCTTCTAGATTTCTAGTTTATTTGTGTAGAGGTGTTTAGAGTATTCTCTCATGGCAGTTTGTATTTCTGTGGGATCAGCAAGGGCCGTGGGTAATGGTGTCAGGGGTGGAGAGTGGGTTCCTGTTCAGAGGTGAGTTTCCTAGAGCTTGATAACCCTATTCAGTCTGAACCTTTTAGACATGGTACCCCAAAGTTTGGACCAATGAGCAGAACTTGGCTGTGATATTGTTTATGTGAATTTCTCTAGTCCACTGGGAAATGTTCCAGAGAGGAAGTTGTCTCTTCAGTGCTGTGAATTTTCTTTGAGTAATTGATTTGTTTGCTTTTTTAATTGACAAATAACCATCAGAACTATTTTCCTGAACTGAGAAATGAATCATTCTCCCTATCAATTAAGCACTGATCCTCATTTTTAAAGCTGAGTACAGTATTTGGTCATCTCACAGATTCTACGTAGCTTGGTGAGATGTCAGGACCATTGTTAGTCACTAGCTATTTTTCCTTATTGCTATTTACTTTGGGAAGCACCTTTGAAATAGGAATGATGTTGAATCATGGTGATGACTTAAAAACCAAGTTTAGGGAGGCTTCTGATGCCACCTGCAATGTAGAAGCTAGCATAAGATTTATCTTCTGGCTATAAACAATAATAAAAGCTTTGTAAATATATGAAACAACTGCTTGCAGATATTGGATAACAATCAGCTTTGGGTTATGGTTCTTGAAGGAAGATACATGGGGTTAAAAAAAGAAACACATGGGTTTGTATATTTTCAAAATTTCAATGACAGAAGAAATAGAGTCTATATAGCGAGCAAGAAGAGAGAGACAGGCATTGAAGGAGTTTATCACAATTGCTTCTCTCAGTCTGAAATGCGATTTTGGATGGTTACATCTTGACCCAGGCAAAATTATCAGTTATTTCTTTTAAAATAATACTATTTTTATCCCGGTCAGGAGGTATTTATCTACCTAAAAATAAAAAATATTCACCTACATTATCTAGTTAGGATTTTAAGATTTTTTTTTGGCTTTCAAGCTATTAATACACCTGGAATTGATTTTTTTCGTACATGATAAGTGATCAGAATCCAAGTTCATCTTCTCCATGTAGATAATTTTTACCAGCTTTGATTATGGAACATTCTCAGCTTTATTGCTGGATATGTTCTCATTTTCATCCAGAGTATTATTTATTTGTGTCTTCTTTATATATCTTGATCAATCTTGTCAGTGGCTTGTCATTTATTAGTATTTTTTTTTAGAAAAAGAAACAAATTTTGGCTTTGTTCATATTCTCTGTGATATCTTTGTTAGCTAGTTCATCAATTTACATCTTATGCTTTTTGGCTGTTTTTCTTTTTCCTATTCACTAAGATGCACACTTAGTTCATTTATTGTTAGGTTTTATTCTTGTTTAATATTTAAATATTAAAGGCTACTTAAAATGTATACATTTTATCACAGACCATTTTTATAGCACCCCACAAGTCTTGATACGTAATATTTTCATTCTAATCCAGTGACACTTTTTTTCCTTTACATTGTGGTTTCTTCCCCTTTGGTCTTCCCAGTCAGTGTATCCCCTGTAGTTTATCTCACTTATTGTGTACTTCAATGACTATATGCTCTGTTATTACTTTTGTGTCTAATATTATGCTTGGTTGTGTCTCTTCCCCATCATACATGTTTATTTTTATTAATTTTTAATTTTTGAAATAATTTCATACTCTTAGAAAGTTGTCAACATAGTACAAAGGATTCCCATATGCCTTCACTGGATTCCTCAAATATTAACATTTTACCATGATTCTTTAACGTTATTTCTATACATGTAGTTGTTACTACTGTTGGTTTTTCAGAGTAAGTTGCAGTTAGAATTTCCTTTTATCACTAAATTCCACTTCATCCCTATGTACTTCAGTGTGTGTTTCTTTGGTCACAGCCCAATGATTAAAACCAAAATCTTAACACCGATGCAGGATATTATCTCTGGTTGGTTCTTACTCATGTTGTATGTTTTTTTTTTCTCTGTATTTGTCTATATTGGTAATAGCTTCCCTTATGTCAAAATGTGTTTATTATGTTTAGTTAAAACCCAGTTGAAGATTTGCTGACCGGGAAGATGGAGTGGGTATACTTTTCCACATTCTTCCTCCTAAGTACAACTACAAATTCTGGATATTATACATAAAGCAAACACAAGAGGACTCTGAAAGGTGGAGTGAAGAAAGCAGCCAAGCTAGAAAGCTCAGGACTTAAGGAACAAGAAGTCTGGGTTTTCTTTTTGCTGCAAGTATTCTAGACATGGAGCTTGAGAAGCCTGCAACTCTGAAACTCTAATGGATGCACACACACAAGCACACACACACACACATGCACACGCACACGCACACACACACACACACAGTTCCAATAAACACCTCTCTCTACCTAAAGGGTCAGAAAAGAGGTGGCTTAGCAAGAAGAAAAAATTTAGATGCTAACTGCTGTGCTCCGGAAGCAACTATGGCTTCACTGCCAATCACCCCAGT